TCATAATTTTTTTCTTCAAACTTAACCTATTTAATTATCAAATTTAGAATGTTTAAAAAAATAATTTATAAAATACTAAGTGACTTTTCGAAATTTTTCTATAATTGCAAACCTACCGAAACACTATTCCGCACCTTTACCGCTGGTAAAGATTCCTTGTGGATGGTCATAGACTGATGACTTACGAAACTAAAAGATAACCAGACAACATAAACTCCCCGTGGACTCGAATATAATGTCTAGGGTAAAAACACACACTAAGAACTTCTGCAACTAATAATACTTTTAATCAATCTTCAACCTTCTGATATGTGTACAAGTCTAACTAATAAACAGCTGGGTAAAATCAAGAGAAATATACACAATATGAAAGACCCAACTTACGGGTTTAAGAATAACACACTGAAACTACTAACATTTGATACAGTACCTAAATAATCAACACAACCTACACGTTATTAAAATGAGACACAGAAAAATACTGAATTCACTGTACTTAGAGATAATTGCTGCTTAAACTAGAAAAATACAACATTGCGTCGTACGTGGCTCTCTCTCACCGTAGATGTCACCTGGGCTCCCGTGCGAGGAAAATTCCTGCCTTATATACGACTCCAAAATTATGGGATATCGATCTCAATTTTAAGGACCATTGGGAGGAAGTAGCCAAAGCACGAGCCACACGGACTCAGTGTTGAATACTATCACATGAGCGTGATGGAAAATTTCTCTAGTTTGAACAACAGACCACTCAATGCAAATTAAATAATCATAAAATCAAACAATTAAAAAAGAAGACCTAAGTAGGTCACAACACGTTAAATAGAATTGACAATCCATGATAGTACGAAATAAAACAGTCCTTTAAAAAGTAACACGAATCACAAAAATAATTCCATTGTATGTTAAAACTGGAAGATCTGTGAAGAGTATTATTTTGAACATTACTATTATAGTTGGATCTTAATATAAACTAGACCACCCGTAATCCTTTTGAAAACTGTGGGTTTCGGGAGTCATCCATAAATTACATCACATATATCATTTATCGTTACAAAAGAACCAGACCCCACATTCCAAAGGCGTCACACATCAGACATTTTTTCTTTTAAAAACACTGATTTCGGCTGAGCATGGGTCTGACCACATTATCCCTTCATATGACGACTTTACGGGTGAACTCTGCACCTACCCAATTCTACTTCACCTGCCCAGTGTCCCGCCAAGTCTCAGACAACATGTTTTTATCGCTTTAAAAAAAAAGATGTCGGCCGAGCATGGCTCTGACCACGAAATCCGTTCATATGCTGAGGACACAGAAACAGGTGAACTCTACTTCATCTGCCCTGTATCCCGCCAAGTTCCGATAGGCAACTTTATCATTTACATCTAAAGAAATTTTTTTAAAAAATAATTAATCTTGTCAAGATGTGTCTCGAATTCGTGCCACCCGCATGGAAACTTATAACAATAGCACGTTAGCTATCTAGGCTCTTAAAATCGGTCATATGTTTATTTCTATATTTTACTTTTGGTCTGCGTAAGAAACTTCAATTACGTGAATAGACCTTAGTATTATTTCAAATTAAATTTTATCCCAAATTAGCCAATTCCATAGTTAAACAAACAAAGATTTATATAAAGTAATTAAGGCCTGAAATAGTTTAGTATATAGGTTTTAGATCTAGAAAGGGCTAGATTTAGATTCAAGATGTAGAATTTAAGTTAATTCTAGATTACGTTAGTTAAGACTAGTTTTTCCGTAACTGTAGACCCAGATTCTAGATCTAGAAACTAGATATTGATAAATCCCATGATCATTGAAGCTAAAAAAGTGAAGATTTATGTCAAAAATTTAAGGACACAAATAGTTTAATTAAGAAACTCAATGATTTATTGTGTTTTAATATCTTTTTTTAACTAATTGATTTTAGTTTGACTTAGATTATAGATTTTAGATCTAGGATTGACTTACTTTCTTTTCGTCCGATAGCTGATCGGTAGATCTATAGAAATTGATTGTATACTTAATTTAGAAGAGCTGTTTATTATAGTGTTAGAACATTATAAAAATAACTAACGGACGTATCTTTAAAGCTATAGCCCACATACAATCTATATATATATAATTCTCTTCTGGGAGACGCTAGAAAACAAGCTGTAAACGCGCTCCATACCATCCCCACCCCTACATGGTCTTAGTGAGCTGTGGATCACGCTATGTTTACCTTCGTGGAGTCGGGTTTAGTGACGGCTATTAGGGGCAGATAATTTAGTTTGAAACGATTTTAAACGTTGGGGGGGGGGGGGGGGGGTGAAGGAAAGGGGGGGGGGGTTATGGTCCTTAACGAGCTACTTCTAGTGTTTTACCTCTTTAAGACCGTAACGACCCTCCCAGCGTCCGATAAAATTTTCTGTATTCATTATTTTTCGGAATCCAAGTTTTTAATCGTAAATCTAGGTCATGATAACGCTAGAGCGGCCATTTTTCGTTGTATTTACTTCTTGTAGTTTTCTCGTTAGATCGATTTTGTATTTTATAGAATTTTTTTTGTAAAACAACTCGAAAAACGGCATTTTTTAACACTGCGGAATGCCGTTCAGCGGCCGCGTCTAAACGTTTACGTCGCCGCATTACAAAATTAACGAAAATTAAAGTATTTATACTAAGACTAATCCAATCCATGATTTTTGTAGATAAATGGACGTACTTTCGTTTTCTATGAATACAAACTCATGAAAATTAATTCTTATTATCAATTTTCCCGTCAAAAGCGTAATTTTTGCACGAAAAAATCAACTCTTTATTTTTTTCTTCTTTAAAACTAAGAAATTATCTTTCTTCAATAAACAAATAATTCCTTAAAGTTTATATCAGTGTGTAGGGTATTCAATTACGATTATTTTTTTATCAATAATGTGTGGGGCTTAAATTAACGGGTAAAAAGATATGGTTCATTTAGCCGCAGGGGTACTGAAAAAAAATGAGTGAAAAAAATTAATTCCGGTAAAACGTGAAAATAATTACGGGCTTAAAGAGTTACAGAAATATTTTCAGTGTCAGCGTTGGTACTGTCGAATTCACAAATTATGAATTACTGAAAAGTAGGAAAAAACAACAACTAAATAGCGGCATATGTTATGTCGCGGGCCGGCTCGTTAGCTTTATAATGCGTTAAACTTTTGAATGGGCAACATAATCTTCGACGGGAACCGCCATTAATGTTATCAAAACTAAATAAATCATGTGATGTCACTATAAGTAAAATCATTGTTCTGAACTTTTATAATTCATGTGGTTAATCTACCAATGAATATATCAATACAATAATTAACGTCTTTAAATTAATTTGTGATTAACAGATTGGTCAAAAAGAACATTGTTCTCTACCTAAATACGTGTTTTACATATCTACGCATAGTGTAGATTCGCTCCTGTAACCAAAGAGATCAACGAGAAAAAAATATTTAAAAAAAACTAATAAATATACAAACATGTAAACAAACTTAGATAACACAGATCGCAATCTAATTAAAACCAGGTTTTTCTATTTATTTTTATTGTTTTATTCCCTTGGTAGGACGTAAAATGAATTTCTTCATATTCTTGGATTTTAAGACTGCCCGGTTGCTTTATTAAATGTGTGCTTCTGCATTTGTTTCCACCATTTTTCAATAAAATTAAATAAATAGGTTCACCATGATCAGTTTTTGTCTCAGAAAAAGTACTCTTTAAATTTTACAAATATTGCACTATATTCTTAAAAAGTTGTAAGCGAAAGCGAACTGGGGGACATTGGTTTTTAAAAATCTTATTTGTCAAAATCTTAAAATATATTATAAGCAAATCAGTTGCAACACCTGTTAAAAGAATGTTGAGATATTATTACAAAAATATAAAGGGCACATTAAAATCTACAATGCTGTAGCATTGATAACAAGAGAAATAAAACTAACGTTGTTGACAAATATGAAGAAATTTAAAAGTATATACTTATGAACGTCCTAAAATATGTTAATTTTTCTAAAGTTATTATTTATCTATTGAGCTAAGCTATTTAAAGCATTGGAAATTAAACAAGTTTTAATTTAAAAATTTTCAGGTAAACCAAGCATACACAATCTAAACAAAAGATTCGCTTGTTGATAAGTAAAGGCGGATAGCAACGACATTCTTACCCAAACCGACAAATTGTGGAAAACAGCTTTACATTAATGAAACAGGAGAAAGTGCACATAAAAGGCTTCCTTTTCAACACAAAACATTAAATGTGCGTACAGCGTCCAACAATAAATGAATTCAAATGCCACGACAAGCTATGCTAACACATTTCTTCATTTCTTAAATTAAAAGACTTGAATAAAAAAAGGATTGCATGCATATATGTATCAAAGGAAGTAGTATCTAGAGATATAAAAAAAAATTGATAAAAAGCTGGTGCTAGTATGAAACTACAATGTTATTAAAGACAATTAGTAAGTAAATGTGATTGGATAAAGGTAGGGGCAATAAAAAATATTATTATATTCTCATACTCGCTAGCAACATGAACGATTTCTTTTCAATTGCCGAACCGGTATTAATCATGTGAATAAAGATGGTTGGTATGTTTTAATGCTATTGAGATGACAAAATGTCTAAGTTAATTAACAACGCCGGAGCTTGTATAAAAAGTGTTGAAGCAGATGGATGGGATGATTTAATATTAGCATCACGAAAAGGGCATGACAAAGTAGTAGAGTTACTTATCAACGGCGGAGCTGATATTAAACGTGTTGAAGCAGATGGATGGGATGCTTTAATGTTAGCATCAGAGAACGGACATGACAAAATTGTAGAGTTACTTATTAACGGCGGAGCTGATATTGATCATGTAGATAAAGATGGATGGGATGCTTTACTGATTGCATCAAAAAATGGACATGAGAAAATAGTAGAGTTGCTTATCAACGGCGAAGCTAATATTTATCATGTAAATATATATGGATGGAATGCTTTAATGGTTGCATCCGCAAATGGACATGACAAAATAGTAGAGTTGCTTATCAACGGCGGAGCTGATATTACTTGTGCGGATAAAGATGGATGTGATGCTTTAATGCTTGCTTCACAAAATGGACATGACAAAGTAGTAGAGTTAATTATCAACGGCGGAGCTGATATTAATCATGTGCAAAAAGATGGATGTGATGCTTTAATGTTTGCATCAGAAAATGGACATGAGAAAATAGTAGAGTTACTTATCAACGGCGGAGCTGATATTAAAACTGTGAGTATAAGAGGATACAATGCTTTAATTCTTGCATTGCGTTATGGATATGCTAATATTGCGGACGTGTTGATCAAATACGGAGCTGATGTAAACCATGTGCATAAAGATGGATGGGATGCTTTGATGTTTGCATCAGGTAGTGGACTTGACAAAATAGTAGAGTTGCTTATCAATGGCGGAGCTGATATTAATCATGTGGATAATGATGGATGGGATGCGTTAATGACTGCATCAAAAAATGGACATAACAAAGTAGTAGAGTTACTTATCAACGGCGGAGCTGATATAAATCATGTAAATAATCATGGATGGGATGCTTTAATGCTTGCTTCACACAATAGACATGACAAAGTAGTAGAGCTACTTATCAACGGCGGAGCTGATATTAATCGTGTGGATAAAGATGGAAGGGGTGCTTTAATGTTAGCATCAGGAAATGGACATGACAAAGTAGTAGAGTTACTTATTAACGGCGGGGCTGATATTAAACTACTTCAAGCAGATGGATGGGATGCTTTAATGCTTGCTTTACAAAATGGGCATGAAAAAGTAGTAGAATTACTTATCAACGGCGGAGCTGATATTAATCGTGTGGATAAAGATGGACGGGATGCTTTAATGCTTGCATCAGACAATTCACATGACAAAATAGTATATTTATTACTCAAACATGTTTTGTTATCACAAGTCATTGACCAATATAACGATATGGATTTTACTAACTTCAATCGGCAATATCTCAGTGCTACTAAAAAACTGTGCTTCACTGTATATTTACTACACATATTATTTCACGCTTTTGAAAGGAAATACTTGAGAATACTTGAAACAATATCTTCTTTTGTCGATGAAAACTGTAATGAGCCTGAGACAACATTGCAAACAAAATTTTTTTTTTTCCATCTTTCACGAGGTAAGCGATTTTATTTTAAATGTCTATTTGTCGTCAGGTAAAGATCGGAAATTTTTTTATGTTCATTAATGTATTTATTAATTTATACATAAGCTACATATATATATATATATATATATATATATATATATATATATATATATATATATATATATGTTTGTAGTTTATTATTTTGCAAATTAGCATGCTAAATTTGCCTTCTGGCAGTTTCAGCCACGTTTCTCTATGCAACAAACTTTTGGAATTAGTTTTTATTTTATTAATGTCCGTGAGGCTTTAGCAACCATAAAATTGTTACAAAAGAAATACATTAAAAAAATTCTTCTAAAACAACCTTGCAAGGGGGTCGGCATAGTCGATCGGTAAAGCTTATGGTTGCTTTCGAAAATAAGAATAATTGTTCAATAAAAACCTAATTTATGCAATTTAAAATCTTTAATTTCAAACGTCTTGATCAGTAAAACATTTTAGATGTTGATTCCAAAAGTGTGATGCTGTGCGTAAAATGTACACATAAAAAAATCGACAGGAATTGTAGTGTGAACTAATAGCAGAACACATCAGTCGTGTTTCATAATTATTTGCCCTCTGTTAAAAGCCAAATAGCGATCCAATATGTGTTAATACCTAAACATCACTAGAGTGAGGCTGTTTAAAAGTTTGTCAGTTAAGGGCGACATTACTATAACAGAGGTAAAGAGAACTATGCACACTTTGCTTAACACAACTTTTGAAAATTAATAAGAAACATGAGCGGTGGTTACACTTTACGGATAGCGGATATATTTTTAGATTAGTTTAAATAACATTTGAAATAGGCTCCAGCTATTATATGATAACAGAACACAACTTAAATTTTAGAATGTCCGACCTTAAAACTATCATAAAATATGAAAAAGATTGTTATCTTAATCATTGAATTTTAGATAAACGCAACACATTCATCTTCGTTCGCCTGCTCAATGACTAGTTAAGCACCAAGTAAGAACGAGCCGCGTTTAATATTTCCTCTTTTGCACTTCGAAAACTGATCTAACAATACATAAGGCTCTGCAGCCTATTGAGGAGTTTGGTCTGCTTAGTCATATTGATCCACTTAGTAACGTCTTCTGCTTCCCAATTACACTCTCTATTTTCTAAATAAAAATAGACAAAGAATCCCAAAGTGCAAGAAACTCATTGTTACAAAAAAAACATTATTTTAGTAATTATTCTTAAATCTACCTCTACACTATCCTTAAAAATAGTTGATTTCTTCTTATCACTAAACGTTAATCTCTATCCCTATACTTTAAACATAACCTTCTACCCATTATTTTCCACAAACAACTATCTCTATACATAACCTTATATTTTCCTTTCATTTACTTTACCCCTATTCGCATCGCTTTCTCAAACTTTTACCTACCACTACCTATGCCCCCATCTCCTACGTTTAACATAAACGTAAACTATAATCATATACCAATAACTAGCCCTAAATCAATCCATATCTATATTTTATCCATATGCATATATTGATGTCATTTATCGACTGCCCATTTACTCAAATAACAGCTATAATGTATCATAACACTGTCGAAAACCTAAGTGTAAACGCAAATGCATTTATTTCAAAATAGCAAAATGTGTACATTAATGTATCTAAATATCCAGAATAGAATAATAATTTCAAAATTAAATGTACTTTTGATATCAATATATTAATTAGTCATTTTTTGTACCAAACACCCAGCATTAAAACAAGATGTACGACAGGACACCAATACAGAACCGAGTGAAGCTGCCGTCAGTGAACAAAGCAACTCAGATTTCAACAAATTTAAGAAGTATGTAATTTGTTTAGTTAACAAAAACATGTCTAGATATTCACGACAGCAAAGGAATATTTAATTGATAGTTTATGTTTAAACAAAAAACAGTAACAGTCACTAACATTAAATATGATGCATACAGATAATTGTATAATTAAAAACGTCGCTTTAAATACGACTTTAGGCCTACATATATTTCAATACATCAAATCTAACCCTGATATCAACCCAACTACAAGAGAGCTCTAACGCACGGTGCTGACAAACGATATATGTTATTGTAATCTTGTCTATCTCCTAGATATTTATTTATATTCATAAAACATAGAATCTGTTACACAAATAAACTCGTTAATCTACTGTTAGGTTGGTTATCAAATATCTCTAGATTACCCTAGATTACCCCTTTCATTCGACTAATTAATTGTCATTATGTCTGCAAAAACCTTTTTAATTTGGGTGCAGGACATAAGCCCTAAAGATTACTTTCTGAGTATTTTTCTCAAGACATTACCCTTTGATAGTAAACCTCTTATCAAACCCACTCCTCCATTTGTCCAAAAGCTAGAGTAGGATATTACTTTATTCTAGATAACTAATTGACTCGAAACCCGATCAGGATAATGATGGTCGAGGTTACTCTAAACATTAGGATCGTAAAATAATAATGTTCTAAATACTTTTATTACTTCTTATCATGCCGATTTTCTATAAATATACACAAATACATCCAGAATATTATTGCAAATACGGTGTATAAATATATTGTATAAAAACAGATCCATTGATTGCTATGTAAAGACTGTTCGTCTCTCTCACAACAATCAGGTAGGAAGTTTTTATTGTTTGTATAACACATAAACACACTATATATATATATATATATATATATATATATATATATATATATATATATATATATATATATATATATATATATATATATATATATATATATATATATATATATTTAAATCGCTATTGAAAAAATATAAATAAAGGACCCTAGTTTACTTTACTACCCAACGTCGACCAGGATTGTTTACTAGGCCTCAGTTCATAGCTGTACATTTGTATCTGAGCGATGACATAAAAATGTAAGCCTGTGACTTGTGTACTTTACATCACTCATGCCATCGCAAAGAAAAAGTTGAATCTTGACTAGGGTATTCGATGTTTTGCCCACTTTTGCCCGACAAATGCCCGAATGGTAGAGATGCACGAAAGGCAATTGGTGTTTGCCCTAAAAAATAATGTAATTTACTACTTAGTAAACATTTTGATCATTTTAATCATTGTTCTAACACAGTTCTAATCAGAGGTTTATATATAGTGAATGAGTGAAGGGGGATGAATGTGGTTGAATGTTTTCTATACTTTGTGCCCTGTCCTGTTCGTCCCTGTTCAATCCTAGTGCTGTTAGGTGTGACAGTTCGGTTTGTACTTGTTTTCTGTAAAGGTATATAAGGTGTGTGAGAGCCTGTGTGAGAGCGTGTGTGATAGCCTCAGTTTAGTCCAGTTCTTCCACAAGGTTAATGTAGGTTTGTCCTGCACTTTTAGATAGCAATTATATCTAATCTGTGTACTAGCGTATGCATTTATTTTTGCAAGCTTTTATTTAACTTCCTCTGTCTGTCTAGATCGAAACGACGGAGCGAAAATTCGGACAATTCTACTTGACCGATACGGTTCAAACTTGGCACGTGGGTCAAGACATGAAGACAATGCAATATGAAATTAAATTTGACTTAATTGTATGCCTAATTAATTTTTTATGAATTAATTAATATTTGGACCGAATTAGTAGGCATGTCTATCCAAACGCGTCATCACGGCGAAAAAGCTGCGCCCTCACGTTCGATAGGCGCGCAATGGTTTTTAGCCATGAAACTCTATTGTAAATAAAAAAATGTAAATTACTAAAAAAATCCATAAAAACGTTTTAATAACAAGCTTTTATGTACTAATACACTAAAACGTAGAAAGTAAATTTTAGTGCATTAGTACATAAAAGCTTGTTATTAGAACGTTTTTATTAATTTTTTTACAAGCTTTTATTTAACTCACTTCCTCTGTCGTCAGTCTAGATCGAAACGCCGAAGTTAAAATTCAGACACTTATAACTGACCAATACGATTCACAATTGGCACGTGGGTCAAGACATGAAGAAAATGCAATCTGAAATTAAATTTGACTTAATTGGATGCCTAATTAATTTTGTATGAATTAATTAAAATTTGGACCGAATTAGTAGGCATGTCTATCCAACCACACCACACGCGTCATCATGTTCAATAGCTGCGCCATCACGTTTAGTGGGCGCGCAATGGTTTTTAGCCATGTAACTCTATCTATATATATAATTCTCTTCTGGGAGTCGCTAGAAAACAAGCTGTAAGCGCGCTCCCTACCACCTCACCCATACATGGTCTGATGAGCTGCGTTCACTCTAAATGTTTACAAGTGACGACTATTAGGGGCAGATAATTTAGTTTGAAACGATTTTAAACGTAGGGTGGGGGTAACTAAGTGGAGTTTACTTTAACGGAGGGGGAGGTTATCGTCCTTAACGACCAACTGATAGTATTTTAAAGCAAATATTTTCAGTGGCAGCGTTGGTACTGTCGAATTCACAAATTATGAATTACTGAAAAGTAGAAAAAAAAACAACTAAATAGCGGCGTATGATATGCCGCGGGCCGGCTCGTTGTAAATAAAACATGTAAAGTACTGAAAAAAAATTCATAAAAAACGTTTTAATAACAAGCTTTTATGTAATAATGCACTAAAAAGTAGAAAATAAATTATAGACTACTATAGTAGTCTATAATTTATTTTCTACTTTTTAGTGCATTATTACATTAGTAAAGGCATCCCATAGATACTAAAGTGACCCACGCTTTTCTTTTTAGTTATTTAATTAGTAGTCTATCATTTATTTTCTACTTTTTAGTGTATTATTACATAAAAGCTTTTTATTAAACCGTTTTTTATTAGTTTTTTTACAAGCTTATATTTAACTTACTTCCTCTGTCGCAGTCTAGATCGAAACGCCGGAATGAAAATTCGGACACCCCTAACTGACCGATACGATAGTTATTTAAATAACTATCAAGTAAAGCGTGGGTCTCTTCCTAAACATTAGTGAAGGTATCCGGTAGATACTAAAGTGACCCACGCTTTTCTTTATAGTTATTTAAATAGTAGTCTATAATTTATTTTCTACTTTTTAGTGCATTAGTATATAAAAACCTGTTATTAAAACGTTTTTTATGATATTTTTTTAAATAAATGAAATACACAAAACACAATTTAGCAGTGTATTGTAAATGATGTTAAAAATAATTTAAATGAATTTATTTTAAAACACTATTTTTTTTAACTTCCAGACACCAAGCTTTGATGAATTAAAGGAGTTTGCTTCTGATGTTATGTTAGAGTTTTCTAACATGAGAGTCTTTGACGCTTCACATTTCTTCATTTGTCAGAGGTGTTTGAAGAGAATTTACTTTGCTCTAAATGAGGAAGATGTACTAAAGTTTTTCACATTACTCTTGGATTTTAACTATTTAGGTAATTTAGTTTTACAGCTTGCAGTCTAATTATGGTTTAGCTCACATATAAAGTCGTTCTAGTTGTTTGTACCATGACTGTTAAATTGAAGAGCTGTATTTTATGGACCCTCACAACGCACCTATTAAGGGTACGATCATGTTGCTACTCGTATGTTAAGTCACTGACTGTGTTGCTACTCGTATGTTAAGTCACTGACTATGTAGCAGACGAAATATTGTGTTGAAAACATAATGCACTAGACAGATTCTGGTTTATTTGAATTTGTTAAAAGAAAATTAATCTGTTATTGGTGCCAGCAACAAATGAATCTCGTCTATTAGGCTCACGACAAAATGTCCCGTGTCAAAATGGTTCCCGTCTAGACAGAAATTCTCTAACCCTAGCCCTAGTATCTGTGCTCGCTTTTAAGCATCATTTATTCTCTGGTTTAATAAAACATTCCCAAAATTTTAAAATTAGTCGCATTTGCAGTTAGGAGTTCCATTTATTTATGAATGTTCGTTTTGTTAGATCATAAAGAAGTTTTTCATTTAGTCATATAAAAGTAGCCATATGACATATTTGACTGGAACCAATATGTCGTGAATAATTTTGTCGTGGGCCAAATTGTCCGCAGCACATTTGTCGTAGCCTTAACCACAACCAGAAACCGAAACTCAAACATAATTATGAACAGAAAAGTATCCCTATTTAAATCTCCATCCCGATAATAATACTTATGATTATCCCTATTGCTATTGCTATCATATCCCTTTGCAAGACATATCTCTATCCCTATCCCATTTTCTTTCCCTATTGCTATTCCTATCCTTTACCTTCACATTTAGCTATCCCTAAACTTGTACTTATACTTATAGTTATTCTTATCTTAAACTCATCCGCTTCTCTATTGTTATCCATATCCAAATTCATTTTCCATAATCTTAGCAATATTGATTCCCCTATTTATTTCCTCATCCTATTTCATTTTCCCCAACTTCATTCATATCCCTTACAAATTCTTGTAGCCCTGTTAATGTCCATTATTTACCCTTTGCCTATATGGGTACTTATGCCTATTATTACCTTATATCTTTTATTATGGTTGGTGATTGAGTGGGGGGGGGGGGGGGGTGTATTTCCCATTGCATCTGTTTGGTAGAGGTTACGTTCGGGGGCGATAAACTTGAGGTGAGGAAGGGGGATAAATACGGGTAGAAGACTTGAAATTGGTAGGAGTAATTAATAGACTGGTAATTTGAATCTCCGGACACATTATTATTCTCCCGTTCTTTCCAATTCTCACATATCTATACAAAATAAATATCATCCCTTCCAAGATTTCACACATTTTGTCTTTTTCAAAAATATATTTCAAACATTAAAGCCTCAAACAACACACTAATACATCCGGCAGCGGCGAACACTCCACCAAAAAGCAAAATTCGAATTTATAGATTATAACTTAATAAATAGTTTTAGATCAATGTTTAAACTATCAAAATCAGACTAGAAACTAATAAAATTAAAATAATGAAGCACCTTCTTGATACATTATCATTACAGATATAACATCGAGATGTTTAAAAGATGAAAAACTTCTTGATACAACAGCTCCAGGTTTTACGTTGACTTTAATTCGGGATATGCTGAGTCTATGGATACGTGGTAGTCATGCTAGTACTGAGTTTGCTTTGGTAATTATTGCACGGTCAGGTTTTTTATTTATATTAAATAGATAATTAGTGTTACACAGTTAAAAAAAGAAATTTGGGCAAAACAAAAAAGAAAGTTGTTAGTTAGAAAATTATTCAATATGTTATTGTAGATTTTGGCCGAGATGGACGCTGTAGAGACATTTACAGATTTCCTCATCTCTCATACAAACGTGCAGGTATAGAATTTAAAGATTTCATTTTTTCTATTATGCACTTAGTAATTTTCTTTTATTTTTATTCATAACATACTTAATTACTTTTATTAAATTGTTTTGATTTTACATATAAATGAAAATAAGACAAAGACCTAAATTTTACAATAAAAATTAATTACATAAATCCTTTTTTTATTACTTTATATTTTCAAATAAATGGTTATTCATTAATTTACGTCTGTTATATAAAAATTGCCTTAAGTACATATGTTATTTATTTGTCGAGATCAAAGCACAGATTTACTTTAAGACAACTCTTTATATTCTTGTGTAACTAGTTGTTTTCAAAACCTAAATTAACTAAAGAGAGAGCAGTCATATATTTACTATGTTTGTGTCTTGCTGTATCATGGGCTTCTTTATATTTTATATTCAATAGGAATATAAAATTTCTTTGTCTTTTTCCAAAATTGCATTCAATATTTGTTAGCCAATCATTTCTTTGAATAATTATTATACTTTTTCTGATAACGTAATTTTGATGCCCAACATTATACTGTCCTCTTCGCTTATTTCTCCGACAACAATTTGGTGTTAAAATTGATTTCTATTGTCACATAACTAAATCAATATCTGCTGACTTGATATGCATTAACATCTCTTCAAACCATTGGCCGTGATTGCAAATAATTAAATGAATGTCAATGTTTTACAGAACTCCCAATCTAAATGGATCATCAGTGAAGTTGTTATCATTTTACATAACATTGCCAGAAGAAAGGGAGCGAATATGTTTTTCTCAGTAAACAAAACATACGATGTAAGTGTGTGCTCATTGTTCTTTAATTGTATAACTTTAAGTGAATTGCATTTTTTAAAATCTTATTGTTTATAAAGTGAAGGAAATTGAACAGTCTAAAATACAGAATATAGGATTACAACAATGGTTGGCATATATCACAAGTATATGGTTAAGTAATTAAAGTTTGACTATATTTGCAAACAACTGCAGCCTCAAACAAATGGGGAAATATATAAGCAAAAGCTTAAATACCTAATTTAAGCAACAATTATTTTTCTATACATATAAAAATGAAAGCTAATTTTTGTATGTCTGTGTGGTTCTTATCTTATGAATTTCCACACTTTTCATCACATTGTCATGGAAGTTTGACAAGTTGATAAAACTATCTTTATTCTGTTTTCTGCACTAAAAGAAACCCCTTTAATTTGGAGGGGCTTCGCAACGGCAAAATGCTAATTAGCGCCCAGCGTTTCCCAGTGGTAATTTTATCACCTGTGTCCGTTGTTTGTTTGACTTCACGTCACGAAACCCCGGCCAACGCCGTGAGTAGATCTACTATGACGTCTATGATTTATATAACTAGTGCCGTACACTAATGATACTGTGGACTACTATAATCGTTGACTAAATTGACCAGGCGCGTTCGCTAGAGTCCTGGCTGTAGAATGACCTTAAAAACTCCGGCCATTAACTTGAGCATTGTGACGCCTACGTTTTTTGTTATGTTTAGCGACAAAGACGTGTGATACGGTGGACTAGTATAATCGTTGACTCAATCCTGGGTCCAACAGTAGGGCACGGATGGCACCTAGAGATTCCCAACGACCAGCTGAGCACACGGAGTCAATACATAAGGTGTTTTCTCAACCTTTTAATTTGTTTTTTTTCTGCTAGCTTGCAGGACGTTCGTTAGGCCAGCCAGATCTCTGATTTGTACCTGATTCAGGTTAGAGAAAGTTAAGATACCTGAGTATAGAGCTCTTTCCACGCATATTATTTTGCTACAGAAACTAAACAAGTGCACGCCACTTCAAACTTTCAACCAGCCAGTGTATCTTTTGGGTCATTTTTCTTACTAATTGTTGCATAATTTCTAACTCCGCATTACATTTGAAAGTGCTGCATATTTTTTTAAAATGCCAGAATAGACTACGTTTATCATTTCAAATTAACCTACCTTTATAAAATCTAATGTATGGTAATGTTCACTAGGTTATTAAAAACATGGAGTTTAAAGAAAAAGACACATCTATGATTGCAACACTTTTACTGGTACTAATAGAAGACGATTCTACCACAGATACGGAGGCAATAAGTAATGACTTAAACTGTTTTGTGTAACATGTTAAATACTAACTATTTTACTAAATGTCATTACATGAATTAGCTTAACTATTACAGATAATGTTAAAAACATAGGATTGTGATAATTTTAGTAATAATATCTGACTTACAGTTTATATTCTTATTATCATCAAAGTTACACAAACGTTGAAAATAAATAATATTTACAGTTAAAAATAAACATATTTGTATAAATTATTTTTTTTGACTTTAACAGGAAGTTGTGCCTGATCAAACACAATAATTTTCCATAGATAAAACTTTCTAATTTAGGAAATAAACAATACTCTATGTCATTGTAAAAGTCAATAAAATGTTTAAATTAAAAATACCGATCAACTTGCGTTAGTTTAAATAGGAGAGTATTACCATTTTTGAAATGAACAATTAATCATCACGTGTGAAAAAATGAATTAAATTAACTATGAAAAGAAGTAAACAAGTAAAACCCGAGAAGAAAATTAATATTGACAAAAAGTACTCTAATTTCCAAATGGTATCATATTTTAATAATTGAAACAATGTAGAGTGTGTATGGTTACATGATCTTAATTTTTTTAATGACTGTTTAATGCAATTTTATTTGCATTACTAATCGCAGTTATATCTTAATAGAAATGGTGTAAGAGATTTTGATCTTTTATTTTATTATATGTTTAATATTAAAAAGTAATTAAGCTCCAAATATGTAAAATAGTAGGCCTATGTCACACTGCGTTGACAATGAGACTTGATCTCCATGTTAAGTGTAAAAAGCAAACTAAGAGCTAGCTTTTATTGGCGATGTCCCACTGGTAACGAATGGATGAGCATGACAAATGTATGAACTATTATTTAGTTAAGGAAATATTTGTTATTACTCAATAGTGTACATCATATCGGCGTTTTAATTAATATCAAATAATCTATACATATCATTCCAGAGCTTTCTTAATACTAACTTTAACATACTTATCTCTTCCGTCAGAAATGTTATCTTTAAAAGTACTGCTTTTCGTAAAATGTGCATTGAATGTTAAAAGAGGAAAGTCAAAACGTTCTCTGAAAGAAACTTTAATGCACTATGTTACAAATAATGAAGAAGAGGAGCTAGAGGGATATTCACGATCTGAGGTGCTTCAAGGGCTGGCTAAAATCTTTGAACAAAATGACGACGAGTTGAATGAGGTAATCGTGATTGTTTAAATCTACTTTTAGCTAAGGCTCATTTAGTTAGACATTTTAATGTTTGTCATATTTGTTTTTCTAACATATTGCTTGTTTAAATTAAAAATACCGATCAACTTGCGTTAGTTTAAATAGGAGAGTACATTAATTGCATCGTTTACCTTATGATTTTCATGACATTTAAATCTGTTCAGATGCTTCCACTGTATCCACATCTAAAAGAAATACTAAAAAATGAGGATCCTGATGAACAAATATTTACGACACAATGTTTGAGAGAACTGAGTAGAAATAAAGAGGGAAGTGAGAAAATCATTACAGACGAAGAATTAAATGACATGTTACTAGTTTTAATGAACAGACATGATGGGGATCTTTCTGCTAACGTACATTCGATACTTTGGAGAGCTGGACGTACAACAGGGATATTGCCATCTAAAACAGGTTAAAAATTATAATAGATGTTTTAGCTAGTATCTATATATATAATTATCTTCTGGGAGACGTTAGAAAACAAGCTGCAAGCGCGCCTTGCAGTCCCCTCTCTTCCACTCTATCAGTACCACCCCACCCATACATGGTCTGGTGAGCTGTGGTTCACTCTAAATGTTTACATTCGTGGAGCTGGGTTTAGTAACGGCTATAAGGGGCAGATAATTTAGTTTGAAACGATTTTAAACTTAGAGGAGGTAACTAAGAGGAGTCTGCTTTCGCGGGGAGGGGAGGGAGTGGGGGTATAGGGTAGGTGTTGGGGAAAGGGGGGGGGAGGTTAGTGTTTTAAAGCAAATATTTTCAGTGGCAGCATTGGTACTGTCGAATTCACAAATTATGAATTACTGAAAAGTAGAAATAAAACAACTAAATAGCGGCCTTTACGCCGCGGGTCGGCTCGTATTAATAATTTGAATTAACATCATCTTATAATAATATAATAAATATTTATTACTTTTTGAGTGTCCGGGGTTTATTTTTTATAGAAATTTTATTTTAATATCTGTAGATGTTGTGCTGTCTGATGAGTTCCCCAAGAAATTTGACGTTAAACCAATGTCGTTAGGTCAAGGAGGTTTTGGTAGCGTCCATCTTGTTGTTGATGTTGATCAACCAGAAGATGAAAAATTTGTTGCAAAAAAAACACACGCAGACGCGAAGAACCAAAAGAAGTGGATGGTACGTAAGGGCGATCATATGATGACATGCAGTAGAAATTTGTTACGCTAAATTTCAAAATGATAAAGAAGTTATGTTACTTGTAAACATGTAGCATATCATTAAACGGTCAATCCTCTAATTTTACATTTTAAATTGACAATTAGTCATTGTACTAACGTACTTTTAACCACTTCTCTGACATACACCATGTCTTGTTCGTGTATATATCTGATCGCGTGCACGTGAATATTTACAAATGTAAACATATTCTGTTTATTTTTAATAGGAGAGCTTACAATCAGAGGCTTCAATTTTAATTAAACTGAAACACAAAAATATCGTCCAGTTTCATGGGTATCAAAGGAAAGAAAATGATATAATCTTATTTCTGGAGTACATAAAAATGGTAAAACGATATTTTTTTAATCATTTGACACTCCTGTAAGAAAATTAAAACTATATTAAAATATCATTTGAGTTTCGCTGACACTGTTTGTGTTTTATCTCCAGGGCACCCTCTCCACATTCATCAAACAACACACAAGACTCAATGAAGGTTTGACCAGACAGTTTACAATTCAAATTCTGGAAGGCGTGAAGTACCTACATGAAAACAACATCTTGCATTTGGACATCAAAGGTATTACAAAATAATTTACTTTTTTAAATAGTGTAACTATTATAAATAGCGAACATACCTATTTTTAAGATAATTATTTAAATTTTTAACAGGTACTAACATTCTAATGTTGGACGAATCAAGTATTAAACTTACTGACTTTGGCCTGTCAACAATCTATAACGAGGAGGGTGTTGAAGCAGAAAGGGGCACAACTCGATATATGGCTCCTGAGATGATTAACTGCCCTGATGGGAGAATATTTAAACATTGTTGTAGCTTGGACATTTGGTGAGAATGTTTTGTTTAAATAATACTTAAATAACAAAATGTTTTAGAATCAAACCAAAAACTATTCTAAATTCTATAATGCATTTCTTGTGTTAATAACATCAAAATTTATTATTTATATTACTAATGTTACCAGCAATTATTATTTTTGTCATCTTAAGCTAAACAGACATTGAATCAAAACAAATTAATTTCAATGTGCACAGCTGTTTTTTCCAATATTCCATTTGTGTAATGTATATAATACCTTATTTTAAATTCGTCTAGGAGTGTGGGAAGTACAGTTGTAGAGATGATAACTGGATCACCACCAAACTCAACAACGGCATCAGCCAATGTACTTTTTAAAATCGCTATGCTGCAGAGACCAAAGTATGAGCTGTCAATCACAGCGTCAAAAAACCTGAGAGATTTTTTAGAAAAGACATTTACACCTGAGGCAGAACAAAGGCCATCAGCAGAAGATTTATTGAGAGAAGACCCGTTTATAACAGGCAGTTCATAAATGTTTACTATAATTGTTCAATATGTGCTTGTTACTACAAAAAATTATTAGCCATCTTTTTTGGATATAAACTTGTGCTGTTCGAGGATATGAAAATGTCAAAAATATGTAGAATAAATATTAAGTTAATCCGTAAACAAGTAAAACTTTTAAATGCAAATGTGTTTTTCAAATTAAAATTAGCAATTTACAATGAAAAACAATAGGTATACATTTTTGGGATATGTCTACTGTGAGAATATATCTTTATTAACCTAGTTTATGAAACTAGTTTAGCCACATTTTGCAACTATATTTGTAAATAAAGCAGAACTTCTGCAAATTTATACATTAAAATCAAAATCAAAACAATAACTACATATTGAAAGCTAGCTTTCACCCGCTGTATTTCTTTAATCCTAATAAAATATACATTAGCTATTTTGATTGCACAAAATATGAATGTTCAAAAGCTAAGATTTCAATCGCAGAATATAAATTTTACTCTCTAAGTATACGATTTTGAATTTAGAAATATATATATATATATAAATAAATAAAAAAAAAAAAAAAAAAAAAAAAATATCTCTCTCTCTCTCTCTCTCTCTCTCTCTCTCTCTCTCTCTCTCTATATATATATATATATATATATATATATATATATATATATATATATATATGTATATATATATATATATATATATATATATATATATATATATATATATTTAGATTAATGTTTTTTATAAAAACGTTAAGGTTGCTACCATTTGCCAATTTATGGAACGACATTTTCTGATAGCTGAGCCTAAATGAAATTTTAAGATTTCCGAACTCTGAGTTGATTCAGTAAGACGTTGCTGATTTCTGCAAATTGTGATGGGCACGTGACTCATCATTGAAGAAGTAATGGTGAACAGGCATAGTGCTGACCACTTCATTATTTTGTATGCCAATGTCACAGAAACTGCCACACGGTCACAATAACATGCTGTCTAACGTGTGACGTCTTTTTGAATGTAGGGTGTGGCGTTTTGTGAAGATGTGTGACAGTGAGAAGGGAAGGGGAACGATAAAAATCGTCAAACGTGACGTCATTTATGGATGACCCCGAAATCCAGAGTTATTCAAGAATAAAGGTCTGTCAATTACGAAAGGATAACTTCATATCTGTTACAAAAATATGGTTATGTACTTTTTAATGCACTTTATGCTTACTTATGAATAAAGTAATGTATGAATTAATTTAATACTTAAGCAATCAATCTTGTTTGCAACAATGTAAATCAAATATAGTCAAGATTATAGAAAATAGTTTTATAGAACTATTCTGTATTCGAATATGTATTATTACATGGTTGAAGAGAGCAAGTACAATAGCATGATGTTATACATTAAAACACATGTTGTTCAGTTCTTGCTATAGATCCTTGAATCTGCATTATAAAATATATTATTTCAGCCGTTTTGGTTATACTTAGCTTGTTAATGTTATTTTTGATAGATTTTAAAAATTGTATTGTTTTAATCATATTTAGAGTCATTATGTCAGTTAAATTAAAATGTGTTCACTGTTACTAAGCATTTTATATTACAATTAAGTGTCTTAACATGAATGAATAGAAATACATTTATTAAACTTTAATTTTTGTTTGCAATTATTTATAAGGACTTATTATTTTCTTCTATTTCGGTAATTTCCTGCTGAATATTATTGTTGGTAAGCTGCACAACAGACCGTCAGTTAAGAAATTGTGACTTCGTTTTTTTAATATGAATATCTTTTATATTATTATGTACTTTATATACAGTTTATGCTTACTTATGAATAAACTAATATATGAAACAACATAATGTATCTATTTTTGTATGTATGTAAGTCAACTATAATCAATAATCTTATATAATAATGTTATTTTCACTATGTATTATTACCTGATAAACAGAGCAAGCACTGTAACATGATGTTATACACTCAAACACAAGTTATTTAGGTCTTGTTACAGATGCTTGAATTTTCTTTATAAATTATATTTTATTTCTGTCGTATTTTGTAATACAGTGTTCTTTAATATTGTTTTGGATACATTTTAAATGTATTTTTTATTTTATTTTAGAAAACATTATACCTATTCTAGTTTTAAATTGTTCTGTCAGTTAAATTAAATTGTATTGTATGCATTACTATCACTGTTACTAAGCTAATAAAACTTTAAACTGTTTGCAATTACTTATTGCGTCGAATTACTTTCATCTATTTTCCATAAATTTAAACAGAATATTAATGTAGATAAACTCTATAAAGCATAATATATTTGAATTAAAGCCGTAGCTAAACCAGAGCCACCCACTGAGTCCACCCACTGAGTCCAACCACTGAGTCCACCCACTGAGTCCACACACTGAGTCCACCCACTGAGTCCACCCACTGAGTCCACCCACTGACGCCACCCACTGACTCCACCCACTGAGTCCACCCACTGAGTCCACCAACTGAGTCCACCCACTGACTCCACCCACTGAGTCCACCCACTGAGTCCACCAACTGAGTCCACCCACTGACTCCACCCACTGAGTCCACCCACTGAGTCCACCCACTGAGTCCACCCACTGAGTCCACCCACTAAGTCCACCAACTGCGTCCACCCACTGAGTCCACCCACTGATCCCACCCACTGAGTCCACCCACTGAGTCCACCCACTGAGTCCACCCACTGACTCCACCCACTGACTCCACCCACTGAGTCCACCCACTGAGTCCACCCACTGAGTCCACCCACTGAGTCCACCCACTAAGTCCACCAACTGCGTCCACCCACTGAGTCCACCCACTGAGTCACCAACTGAGTCCACCCACTGAGTCCACCCACTGCGTGAGTGCACCCACTGCGTCCACCCACTGACCCCACCCACTGAACCCACCCACTGAGTCCACCCACTGACCCTACCCACTGACCCCACCCACTGAGTCCACCCACTGCGTCCACCAAGGTCTGACTTACGGGAAAGTAAAGGCAGCTGGTTACAACTTTCACCAATACCTTCACTTCTTTTGTTCACTACAGAGACAATGACTAGTACAGTTTCCCAACCATTCCAGCTATAGACGGAGAGTGCGTAACTTCATTAACTAACGCGAATAAGTATATAAAAATAAGGAGGGATGATTGATAATTCAAACCCATTGACAGTAGGGGTTGATACGCGTGTGCTATCAATATAGTTGTGTAGTAACAAACTTAAGAAATTATTATTGAACATACATGATAGGAAAATATATCGCATTCATACTTAAGTGACGTAACACTGATTTAAATTGTAAAAATATATTTTGTGTTCTGTAGTAGAAAGTAAGTCAATATCCTTTTATGTGAAGACACATACAATTGATCATCAGATGATATTGACTTGTACGATAGAGCAATCATATTAGGGTAAAATAAACCAAAACAATTCACCATAGGTTATAGACTAACCTTGTTTGCTGGGCGGTCATCTTGTTATTACATAAGCTTCAGGATAACATGACTTTGTTTGCTTTAATGTCAATCTTTGTTTCTTTTTGTAATTTAATTTAAATATCATACAACAACGTTTAAAAGTATTTATTTTTTTGGTTAAGAATTATAGTTTATGGAGACTGGAATACGAATAAATATTGGTTTAGTCCTTTTTAAACTAAGCTAAAATTCGTAATGAATATTTTATGTCTATTAAAAATAAAAAATAAACCCACTCCAACTTATTTCTTGCCCCTCACCCCACCCAAAATCCCACTCCCACACACTTACACATTCACTCTTTCCCCAAACACGCTTGTCAAACAACGGTAAGTTTATACTTATGTTTGAGTTTATTGCAGGTTTGAAGTGGTAATTCAGAAGTTTTAGCAGGCTATAAATTGAACGGGTACATTATAATTTACATCGGACTTTGTTGCTAGTAGTCCTTATACGGGTCTTTAACACAATATAAGAACGTTAGTGATAAGAGTAACTTCACAAACAATGACTATAGCTATGGATAGTGCACGTATTTTTACTAATTATGTAATGTCAATGGTTGCAAATATGTGGTGTGCGCTCATGTCAGAACATGGCATTTACTAATTCTCTTTTTGTTATTTAAGTAATTAACGATAGTGTCGTTCTCCTATGGTAAGGTTTTACATTGTAAAAAATACCACAATTTTTATTTACCAGAACACTCAGACAAAATCGTGGAATACAACAAAACTATTTATAGAAGATACACCCGAGTAATTTTTAATTTAGTGTACTAGCACAGGGAATGACAATCTGTAGTCAAAGATGTCATAAACTCGATATTAATCTCATTAAATCAAGTAAGTCAAACACGGAAGTGTTTTTCATTATAAGAATTACATTAACTTGTAATGTACACAATATGATTGATTACATTCTCGCTAATGCATACTTTATGATCGAAGCTTCAAATAAGTTACCTATCTTATTTAATAATATTAAACAGAAAACCAGTTACACATTCTTAATTACTTCTCTAATCACATACCATTGCAGAATGCCAAATCTGGTTGAAAGACGATGTCATCAAAACATTTAAAGAAATGATGCTACAATTGGAGGACACAACTAGCTCAACACTAGAACAAATGTCGGCGTTGTTAACTACTTGAGTGTGAATTTATTATTTTTCATGTTTTCTTTTAACATAAACCGGTAAATTACCTGTAAACTTCAATTAAATACTAATACATCAGTACGTCGGTTTTCACGGTGAATGAGAACACATTCTCATTACCAACTCTATATGTTAATAAAACGTTTTTAATTTATTAATATAAATCAGATGGTAGGTATTTATAACAAAAGATATGTTGATATGTAAAATTTGTTTGACTCAACACGACATGACTAAAATTAAAGTAATTACAACAGTATCATCATAGATTATTGTAACGTAATAATTATGTACCTTCATATCAGGTGCCCACTTTTATGGATCAAAGATTTCAGGACAGACTGAAGTCAAAATTTCCTCCACCAAACCACCAATCACAAACACAAATGTTGTAGCTTCACTAGAGCCGCCACAACAATACAACAACTCACCAATCACCAACACAAATGTTGTAGCTTCACTAGAGCCGTCACAACAAGACAACAACTCACCAATTACCAACACAAATGTTGTAGCTTCACTAGAGCCGTCACAACAATACAACAACACACCAATTACCAACACAAATGTTGTAGCTTCACTAGAGCCGTCACAACAATACAACAACTCACCAATTACCAACACAAATGTTGTAGCTTCACTAGAGCCGTCACAACAATACAACAACACACCAATCACCAGCACAAATGTTGTAGCTTCACTAGAGCCGCCACAACAATACAACAACTCACCAATTACCAACACAAATGTTGTAGCTTCACTAGAGCCGTCACAACAATACAACAACTCACCAATTACCAACACAAATGTTGTAGCTTCACTAGAGCCGTCACAACAATACAACAACTCACCAATCACCAACACAAATGTTGTAGCTTCACTAGAGCCGTCACAACAATACAACAACTCACCAATCACCAGCACAAATGTTGTAGCTTCACTAGAGCCGTCACAACAATACAACAACTCACCAATCACCAGCACAAATGTTGTAGCTTCACTAGAGCCGTCACAACAATACAACAACTCACCAATTACCAACACAAATGTTGTAGCTTCACTAGAGCCGTCACAACAATACAACAACTCACCAATCACCAGCACAAATGTTGTAGCTTCACTAGAGCCGTCACAACAATACAACAACTCACCAATCACCAGCACAAATGTTGTAGCTTCACTAGAGCCGTCACAACAATACAACAACTCACCAATTACCAACACAAATGTTGTAGCTTCACTAGAGCCGTCACAACAATACAACAACTCACCAATCACCAACACAAATGTTGTAGCTTCACTAGAGCCGTCACAACAATACAACAACTCACCAATCACCAGCACAAATGTTGTAGCTTCACTAGAGCCGTCACAACAATACAACAACTCACCAATTACCAACACAAATGTTGTAGCTTCACTAGAGCCGTCACAACAATACAACAACTCACCAATCTCCAATACAAATGTTCACATGTAGTGGGGTTTAAGAAGGGAGACAACTTTGGCGTCCTGCCTTGTAATTATTTTTGTTGATCCCCCTTAAAGTTACTGTACCCTGGAATCGATAGCGTTTGTACGTTTTTTTTTGTGTATTTTCAAATTAAAAACATATATATGAAAGACTTATTATTCCAAAATAGGAGGTGGAGAAATGGACAGAAAAATAATTAATAACAACAGCGTTGACAAAATGAAACAAAAATTCTCGCTCCTGTTTGCTCCAGTTATAAAGAGCCATTTTTTTTTTAAATACAGGCTAAGGCAGTATAGGTCTATTTAATTTGTTCTGATTAATTGAAATTGTGTTACAGTTGCTGGATAAGGAAGTTCAGCTTTAGTGATTTAACTGTAGCAGTGGATGTAGTATGGTGTAATTGTTAATAATGTTGTGTGCAGAGGAAGCAAATGATGAGACCTAGTGCAGAATGTATTTAATCATTGTGCCATCTTTAAACAGTCTTGTATATGTCTTCCCACAGGTGTCGTCTTCTCTTTTAATACAGTGTGGAAGAGGAAGGGTTAGTGTGGAAGGGGATGAGTTTTATGTTTTGGTCTAAAGCTTATATTAATCATTAAAATACATTTCACGAGTACAGAGAATTATACTCCAATATGTATTAGTCCCATACACTCCTCAAATGTAAGTATGTAACATAAGCTGTGTGTGACGTTAATTCAACTAACTTGTAAACTTGTTTAATTAAACTAATGGCTTAAACGTATCGTCGACATCGATTTATAAATGTATCTATAGTTAGTTAGATCTTATCAAGCAGAAATTCTATGAAACTAATCAATACAACTTTTAATTTACAACATTTTTATATTTTTGATGTTTAATCAAGACTATGTGATACACTTTTTAAAAAGTGTAAAGAAAATATATAGCCTAATTTTAATTGCTTAAGTTAGAGTTCACTTCAAAAATTTTAGTTCGTGTTAATTGCAAAGCCTTACTAGTATCGGCTTTTTTATCGGCTTGAGCTATATAAAGTTGAAGCTTAAATATGTGTTGTTAATATTGAACTTTTTCAAATAATAGATTTTAAATATTTATTAATTAAGAGGATCAACATTAAACTATATTTCTTAGTTTAAAATGCAAAAGTATATTTTTAAAGCGGTACTAATTAGCGACACCTAATCAGCAGGTGCTTGTTTATAATTAATTAAACGTTCAAGCGTGTCAACTGAAATTTTAGGTCTCTGTTATTAAATCTCATCAGTTTTAGAACAACTGTAAACTAGTATGAAAAGCCAAGCCAAACTTTACAGTTCAGTGAATCGACGGGATTCCAGCTTTTTTTTATCTATACTCATCTATACATTGAAGATTATTGTAGTACTATGCACTAAATTATTACATCTGTTGTAAAATAAGGGTAGCGGTGTGCATTAATTAATTAATTATGTTGTATATGTGTGTAGTACAATGCAATAAATAATTACTTCCTGGCTATTATACACTTTTTGTATGCGTTCATTTGTTCTCTTTTTAAAAAAATACATTAAAGTAATTCCTATATCCCGATTGCACTAGAAGCGGCATCTCCCTTAGTGTTATATAAGAGTATATCACTTCCGCTTTATGTATATACAAATTTAAATTTTAACTTTGCGCGTGGTCTAAAAAGTGAGTTCCCACACATTTTACAAAAAACATACTCGTTCATATTGAAATAGTCCCAAACGAAATAAAAACGTGCGGCGATATATAAAAGTATGTAGTTAGCAATTTGGTTCCAGCGAATAACCCATTAAATCTACCAGTGACTGCCAGAACCTTATATAATGCAACCTATAATGATCTTCAAAACATCAATTATCGATAGCCAAAGCACTCCTCACATGATTGCTGCGATCAATACTTAAACAGTTCTCTGCCTCACAATTTCTGAATCAGTGTTGTTACGTTTAATTAGTCAATCTGATCGATTGCCTGAGGACATATTGATTATCTTTATTTGCAGCTTACCTCACTCATGGTGTCAGAAAACAAGTCACTACTTGCCGTTCACAACTGGTTTGTAAATCGTATATACAAAAAGTATAATGTTTGGATTATTAGGACTCAGGCTATTTAATAAATTGTTGAAAGTCGTTTTTCTCTTATTAGTGTCAGCAGCGTATTGAGGCACTCTAAAGAGGGTATCTGTTACGAAACGAGTCATCTATGGTTGGTACTGATAGTGACTGCAGTGAGAGGTCAAACAGTTGTTTGTTGAATTAGACACCGTAGATTACTTGATTGTTAAAGAAGACACCAACACAATTTCAGTTAAACAACTTTAATTAAATAGATAATGAAACTGCACTCTATATGGTAGTCCTACTATGGTCTAAGGAAGCAGCACTAGTTCATTAGTAGCGGCCGGTCCTAGGGATGAGCCCTACCACACTTTACAAGAACACAACACGACTACATGCTTCTAGTTCTAAGGCTAACGTTCAACTGTCCTATCTTTCTGGCCCTCACTAGCTTGGGGTCTATGCCTCGAATACAATAGGGTATTACGTGTTTCGCAAAATTTGCATACCAGGTTAGTTGGGTCGGACTCAGGTCAAAGACCGGCGACCTGTACTAACCTCAGCCTGCACATCGCTAGGTAGAGCGGGGATGGGGCGTTAACATGTTGTCCCAGGTCAAGTGTGGGACGGGAGGGGGTGGGGTAGATAACCATCTAGCATTAATAATAGACTCAGTCATAACAGTATCAATGTGACATCTCGAGTTAACTTTCATCGACTATAATAGTATAGATTTTACCTAATGAGGGCCTTTTTAAAAAAAAAACGAAGGGTTGTCTCAAGAACACGGGCACACCTCTGGACGTCCCTGGTACAGTTTGACCGCTCATTTAAATAATACCGCTGGCCGTTAGGCATGTCGCCCAATAAGCGTTTCAAATCTCCAATGATAGCTCACGAGAACACGCTTTTATACCTATAGTATTAAGTAAAAATTTAATTGAAACTTTACTACGAAAATAAGCAAGAAAGTAAAAAATAAAAGCTTTTAAATCTTAAAAAGTACATAAGATTCTTACAATACACGGTATACATCTTTAATATACAATCTGTGTTCAAGGCTCAAAATGCAATGGCGCATTACAATGGAGTGAGTAGACGGGCAATACTCATATTTCTTTTAAAGCGAGAAAACTGTAAAATGTAATACAGCAGAAATTGTTATTGAAACTTATTCCGCAAATATTGAGTTGTTATTGTAAATAGCGGAAAAAAGTGGTTGTGCTATATTTTTTTCTGTTAATTACATCGATGTTAAATCCAAAATGATTTCAAATACCATGGGACTACTTCCATTTAATTTCTAAAGGCGCCTACATCTAAAAAGTACGCGCTTTATAGATCTCGTATGTATGTACATACCGAGTAATTTTAATGGGATTCGTTGCAACATAATACGTAGTACGTTTTCTAACAGTTATTAAAGGGTATTTAATTCAAAACAGTATTTAGAAAAAATAATTTCATTTTTATTATAATTAATTTAAAAACTGTACACACCAAACTATATAATATTGAATACAAAATATTTGCAGGTAGTTTTTATTTATTACATAAGTTGATCAGTTCCTTTTTCATCTGTTCGATCACAAAAATAAAACTGTTAAAATATATGCAAACACTTTTGTTTAACATATTAATTCAAAGGTAATACTTGTTTAAAATAGCAAAATTAGTTGAGCATTTAAATAATTGCATTAAAATATCTTGCTTTTAAATAAGACTACAACATAATATTTATTATTAAATGTACTTTATTCAAAATAGATTTTGTAAACAGTAATAAATATTATGAACACTCAAATTATAGTTTGAAAATATATTGTCTTTAAATGCACGTTTTTAATTTATTTAGGCAGGCCTACGAATTTAGCGCAACAACCTTAACTACTACATCGAAACAAACTCAGGAAAAATTATAAATCCAGTCAGATTATAATTAAACAGCATCTGTACTCCTGTTCTAGCCGTAAAGATGTGTAATTGATACCCCATTAGGGAAATTATGTCACACACATTTTTAAATCCACTAATATAAATGTCTTGAAGAAGCATTTTGGAACAACGCACACACACACAAACTTACTCTCACATATACAAACATATACTCAACTACAAAATTCCTGCCTTTCAACCTAACCCCCACATTTTATCCACCATCAAATAATGATTTTAATCTGCAAGGCACTAGTCGTTTCACTCTGTAAATTCAAACGTAACGGTTTCGTAAAGCTCGTGTCGTTGAATATTCCTCACTTTTAATTTCTATGCAAATAAACTACATGAAAACAAAATCGATGTTTTAATTATAGTCTTATAAAAACGAAATAAAAATAAATGCGTAGATCAAAATAATTGAGAATAATATATAGCAAAATAATATATATATATATATATATATATATATATATATATATATATATATATATATATATATATATATATATATATATATATATATAGACGTGTGACCTGGTTTTCTAAAACAGAGTTAAACAATGTCATATTTATCGGGGCACGGATTTATCTTCATTACCACTCAAGCACGCCATTGCTCTTACTGTATAAAAGTCTTGAGTGTGCATTAATCACTCACTGTAATATCACCGTTAACCACTAAGCGCCTTCGTGTCGAGAACATAGAGGTGCGCTCTCGTGAGCCCCCCGATTACACTACCGCAGGGGCGCCAAGTACGGACGCTGCTTCTGTTTAATCATCGAATTGTTAATATTGTATGGTGCTCCTTAAAACTAACGTAGGAGCCATAGTGCTCACTAGATAGACCGGAGCGCCAAATTGCAGCCTGCGAACACGCCTGATTGAATTAACTGAGCAACTATAACGCCCCATCTTATCAATTGTGTACCGCTCTGTTTAGAACGTACGTATAATTCATTTGGGTCTTAGGAAAGCCCAGGGCGCCAAATCGCACCCTACAGGGGCGCCGGAGGACGCACCTGATTAGATATAATCAAAGATTATTGTAGCCCATCATGTGTTTGCTGTATAGCACGAGTCTCTGCCAGGTCTTCTAAAAAGGTTATACATACTATTACTTTTAAGTATGATAATTTAAAAATAATATCTAAACTATTAGCTTATCAGTTATATGGATTTAGAAAGGACCTCCTGTATATAAATATATTTTAACTAATAACTGCCTAAATAGTGAGGTATACTATGCTTATAGACTATTTATAGACTATTTTATAGAGTATAGATCAGTATAGAGTAGGCTTTATGAGTAGTTAATAAGTTAGTAGAGAACAAGAATACTAGATCTATATTTAAATATCAATCAATTGAAAAAACGCAGATAGGCCCATTAGTTTATTTTTGGTTAAACATAGGCCTACTGGTAATTTAGAATTCTAGGTACATAAATAAATTAGGCAGAAGCTAGGGGGCCGGATTAAGCCTATTTATTATTTATTTATATTTAGTGGCATTTAATTACGTTTTCCGTACATTAATACCTTCTACCGAATTTCGTTCCCATCGGTGGATTAGCCTGTTTAAAGTTTAAAGTTTAAACATTTCGGCCTAATCTTATTAAAAGTATTAGCCTAATATTAAACTAATTATTAAATTAAACTAGAGCACTATAGTTAAGTGACTAGAGTCTAGCTAGTGACAAGTTTTGTTTAGAGTTTAGCTTAGAGTTGTAAATAAAAAAGTTGATCTAGATTATAAGGCTTAGGGCAGTATAAAAAAGGTAATCTATCGTTTTGGGTAAGTAAAACCGCCGGCGGTTAGTAATGTACGAAAAAGTTACCTCATTGTCAAGGTTTTAATAAAAGTATATTGTGATATATTTGTGTCAATTATTATAGTTAAACGAATAATAAACCTAAAGCAATGGCAAAAAATATCAATATAGGCAAGAAATTAACTTTAAACAGCAGTGTTTGCGAGCAGGATTTGCTAAATAAAAAGCGACCATCTGAAAGTTAGAGTGGCTTCCCCTGAACCTTACGCTGTAAGTTTACAATAAAAAATATAAACAAGATGGTTGCTATAGTAAATGAGCATGGTTGCATCTGTAGGAAACATCGCTAGTCTTCATTTATTACAGAAAAGTTTTAGTTCAAATGTTTAAAAACAGGTACATAAATGAAACAGGGAAACATTTTTGTATTTTTCAAAACATAAATTCTCCTCAAAATGTGAAATAATTATTAAAACTTAAGAAGTCACATGTTTTTCACATTACTAGCCGCGGGCAATTTTACGTACCTAAAATGATAAATTTAAAAAAAAATAAGGTAAGCAGCAAACATTAAAGCAGAAATCCACTGGTTTCTTAAATGAAATTTCCTTTTCATGCTTGGTAAGCGGAAAAACTTACATTTGTTTCGGTTTTACTTGTGACAACAGGCAAAGCACTAACCATTCTATTCTAGGTATCTCAATTCTAGATCTCTAGTTCTAGATTAGATCTAGATTAGATCTAGATCTAGATCGAAATCTTGATAACTAAATTTCTGATTAAATAGAAAGTGGCTTAGCTCTTGCTCAATAAAAATAAATAAAAATATTCAATTTTGGTTGAAAAATATGCTTTCTGGCAACAATCAAGTGGAACCACTTTGGAACCACTTTTCCTACCTATTAAAAAGCCTATGCAGTGATCTCCCCTTAACTTTCTCGAATATTCTTATATAAAACACAGGGGATGGGAACTCGGGATATAGACATGAATTTTAATCCATTTTAAATACTTAAACTTTTTTTTTTAAATAGAATAAAATCTCGTAGAATAAAGAATTGCACACCAATGAACGCCAAATAAAATATGCATAATAGTGCGGAATATTATTAGTACTTTATAAATTTACATTTGTTGTTTGTTTTTTTGTTTTTTTGAGAAATCGGAAAATTACTCAAAATTTGAAAGAAGGTAGAAAATTCGATCTTTTACTTATATGTGAAATTTCATTTTTCTATCAAAAATAATACTTAAGTTGTAAGCTTTTGAAAAATTTAAGTAAAACAAGTATCACTTTCGGTTATCGGAAGTCGCTCAAAAGTCGATACGGATCTACGATCTTGATAAAATACTTATATATGAAATTTCATCAGTCTAGCTGTAATGGTATTCAAGTTATCGTGTTTACAGACACACAGACACACACACACACACACACTCACACATACACAAAGACATACGGACAAGATTGCAAAATTATGTTTTTCCGTATCAGTGAGGTGTAAAACGTCGAGATTTGCAAAAATCTCGATTTTTTTTCACGATTACAAGATTTTTTCTATACTTCGTATATACGAGAAAGTAAAAACACAATGATAATAACATCATCTTTACTTGATAATAAATACAATAACATTACCACCTACTTTATTTATCTAATCTTAAAAGTGTTCTGCATGCAGTTTCTTTCAGGCATCTATTTGGGTAGGGGCAGAGCCACTCCCCGCCCCCTCGCTGAAAAAATTCTACCCCCCCTCTCCCCCCCCCCCCCCCCATGAACGAAATACAGTTTTTTTTAAAACATTCTTTAACTTGAGTGTCAGCCTTCCTCCCCGGGAGAAAAAAGTCTGAAAGAAACAATTGACACCAAAGCGGCTAAATGTGTTACATTAGCTGTCTGGGTATTATCTGTTTAATTATATGTGTAGAAAACATAACAATGGTTAATAAATCTTGTTTATTGAGGCTGTTTGTATTAAAGTAAATCGTCACATTTTGTTATAACCCAGCTATTGATATCAAAATTTAAAAAAAAAACGGTTAGCAAGAAATGTTCAATAACGTAAAGCATAGTATGCAGCTGCATGACTAAGTGTGTCAGAACGACTTAGTTGTGATTCTAAAAATAATTTTACATTTCTGACTCAGACCGACCAATCACAGCCAACCATTTCAAATTACCCGATATCGATTTATTCATATCGCGTTACACAGCCTTCAACTAGTTTGAACCAGATTTTGTCAGTTTAACCAGTAACTACTCGCTCCTTTTGAAATGTTCAGTATACGTGTCTGCTAAAGACGTGTGTGCATCTCAGTGTATTAAGTAAAGTCTAATTTTATATAAGTTGCTTTTTAATTTCGAATAAGACCTGACTGTTTTGAATAAAACACATCTAGTGCTATTTGTAAGTGAACGGTTGTGTTCATTGAAGGGGACCAATCTAGTGTCGTAAGTAAATGTTTCATTAGCTGCCATAATTTTAAAAAACTTTAATCTATCCATAATCGGTTGATAAGTAATAATATGTGTATTATATGCATTCTAAGTATTATATTCCACAACTTGTTATGGCGTCCCCTAACAGACGCAACATTTAAATTATAAACCCTGTAACTGACCGCCTAAACGGCTGCAAGGACGGACCACACTCTTTTACAAAGTGGATATTTTAGCTTTCTAAACCTGCAATACAGGGCTATGGTATGTGGTCCAGAGCTGCTAGTTTATGAAGGAGGTGACTGAGGGAAATATCCTTCTCTAAAAAGAGTTATAACTTTATTTAAAAATAATTTGCAATAGCGGACTAAAGTATTTGTTTCATGACGTTTAAATAATCCTAATTAAAGCGAACGATATATTTTCTTTTGCGTTTTGGTATCTTGAATTATTAACCTTAAGCGTATTAACACAACCAATAGTGCTTATGTATTGCTTTCACATAATAATCTTAATTCTCAGAAAGAAATCCTCTATTTCTTCTTTCAAATATAAAGAGATTGTTAGTAAATTGTCTTTTAATTGTATCGTATACCATTTGATTCGTCATGTTTTAAGCTGCCGCAGTAATGATTTAATAAAGAATATTTTGAATTTTAAAATATTTCATAAGCATATAGCCTATTGTATAATTTCAAAAGCTGAAGTGATATATAATAACTTATCGGCACTAGCCAGATTATCTTAAAATGTCTGACCACAGTATCATGAAACATCACAATAAAACAAATGATGCCCTGATTTGATTAAAGTAAAATTTAGACAACCTAGTATCTAAATATAACAAAGTTGTTCCTTAAAAATGTGGTGTATCTTGAATTTCCACTTGTATGATTCAGAGCGAAAAAATTTCCTTACAGACTTAGAAAAAAGCTTTCAAAAACATAGCCCTGCGTGAATCAAGTCAATATCCCACAACCTATTCAACTCGAAAAAGACTATTTAATTTTAAGTTTACATATGTTTTCAATTATTTAAGCTATTTATTTTGAAATTAGATCAAATGTGGCAATATCAGAACGGGATTTTCCGATTAATATTTATATCTTCAACCAAACGTGGCTCTGTGACGTATATTTAGATCATTCAATATGGCTGCTGATTAACTGAAGGAGGTCAACCTTTTCTCTGACTTTATGCTGACTTTCTGTTCCAGTTATTTTTGTTTCATTGTTAAATGCTATTGCGTGGCACTACTGCAACCTTTTTTTTCGAAAGGCATTAGGGAATGAAATAAGTGGACGTATGTTCTATAATGTAAAGTATTTTTTTAATTAAAATAACTTATAAATCTATATTATCATTATTTTTCCTCCCTTCTGACGCCACATGAAAATAAGTGTAAACTTAATATATCACTTTAGAAAAGATAACTATAGGTAATGATATAATTGACATAGCAATAATGATAAACACGTCACTTTGAGTTGAGTATTTGCATTTCAACACAATTGCAGCCACATAAATGTGTACCTTTATTTGTATATATATATATATATATATATATATATATATATATATATATATATATATATATATATATATATATATATATATATATATATATGTATATATATATATATATATATATATATATATATATATATATATATATATATATATATATATATATATATATATATATATATATAAATTAAATAATTGATAAAAATAACTAACGTTACAAAATTGTCCGTGTTTTTTTTTTTAGGTAAATAACAATTGGTTTGTTGCAATAAAACCAGTGAATAACGTTATAAAAAAAATGTCAAGATTCAATTCCATACAGGAAGGAATTTGAAGTTGTTCAGATTGTATACACTTTTGTGAATCGTAAGCAATAGTCAGACATTCCCCATTTTCGCGACATGAAATGATAGTAATTTATGAATAAGCCTCTTACTTTAAGTTAACTGTTTCTATACAAATCAATATTATTCTTGCATTCTATTCTTTTTAATGTATACATATGAATATTTGACAGTATGATTTTTTAATGATTTTTTTATACTGAACAGGAAATATATGAGTACTTCATTCCGGTTAAATAAGAGTAGAACAAGTTTAACGATTGTAATTAGTGTAACCCTTATTCACTTTGTATGATTGTATCGACATTAGTAATTATTTAGGCGTTTGTTTGATCACATTTCAAAGTAATTGAATAAATAATAGCTTTTAAACAGTTTTATTCCAAAATAACTGAGTTCGTTGTCTCAACGGAATAACAAACAAAATCACCTTTACCCTTTCATATTTATATTGATTTTCTTTTTGTTTCAGTTGACGTTTTTGTGAGCTGTTTACAAGAAAGATTATTATACCACAACAACTAAAACACGAATTGCTGTTATATGTGCTGAATATCACCACAAAAAAATCCTAATCGATAAAAAGTAAGTAACTATTTTTGATATCATTACTAATGGCTTTAATATAAATAAGCCCTATAATAATGCTACTCAATTATAAACTTTAAACTATCCTAATATATAAAAGCCCATGTACGCACTTCTCTCTCTCTCTCTCTATCTGCAAAATATTTTCGCAGGGTATCACATCAGAATCTTCAGCGATATATGGAGAACTTGATACGGACTTTTGTTGAAAATAATATGGTAGATGTTTTAAATGTATAACCAACATTTTATTTAAAGAAGAAAAAATAAATAAAGGCATGTTTAAATGTAGAAAAATAATTGTAATTATGCAACCGGAAAAGTGTTTATAGTTGTGAGAAGAACGCGATTTTTCAATTACATCAGTAATGTTTACACTAAGGAAAGTGCACTAAACTAATGACGTCTTCTTCCGATTGTAATATATAAAGAAAGGAACTATTTCATTCAACTTTGATTTAGATCTAGATCTACGTACCCTATGAACTCTAGATCTATACAATACAATTTTCTGGGCCCAAACTTATAAAATTTACTTTATCTATTTGGATTCTAGATCTAGAGATTATATATCTAGATCTACGCAAAATCTAGACGTAAACGCTAAGATCTGGAATAGATTCTAGATCTAGAATCTAGATTCTAGATTTAGACTCTATCTACTCTAGAATCTATTCCAATGATAAATTTCTAGATCTATATTAAACTATTCAGGCCTTAATTATTTTATAGAGATCTTTGTTTGTCTATCTATGGAATTGGCTAATTGGGATAAAAATGTTGAAACAATAGACCTATACGCGTAAGTTAATTTTCTGAACTACGTATTTTATTCTTTAACACTTATAAATTACCTAAATAGCTCTGATGATAATGTATTAGATACCACGGGGGTGTTTAGGGGTTCGAGGCACAACCACTCAAGTGATTTTTTTTTCAATTTGTTTTTTATATGTGAATCTTCCGATTTTAGAATATAAAGAAAGGAACTATTTTATTCAAATTTGATCCAGATCTACCTATCAAGACAAACGCAATGAAATATATACAATTTTATCGGTCAAACTAATATAAATTACTTTAAAAAAAACATAATAACAATTTTATAAAATATTAGGATATTGGTAGCCATTGTTTATTAATATGTGCCGGATTTTTAGCTATTTAGTTATTTCTTTGTTTTGTCACTAATATCTCAACGTGTAGTGTTGCATTTTGATCAATAACTATTTTATAACTTATTATTTCCAAATGTATGTATAACATTAAAAATGTATATGCTTATAATTCACGTGTAACCGAAGGCTAGTTGCTAATATAAAACTTTTTTTTTTAATTTTAAAATTAAAATACTAATCATGCAAAAACCAGAGATTTACTTCTTTCAGCGTTAAAATAAATATCTAAACAATTTTAAAATGTGTGAACTTTACGATTTGGCGTGTATACTGCAACTTTAGATTAGTAATTGCCAACTATCCATGTAAATGTAAAGTTAATAGGGTTGTACTGCTTAGATCGGATGTCTGTCATACATAATTCGTTACGTGACTTTAAAGGTAGTCTACATTTTACCGTCTGTATATGTTTAAAAGTCTTATCTAGTTATGGTTTCTTTCCAAAACATTATATTCCACAATTGTTCTGCTATTATTGGCAATTATCGAGTGAAAACCCAACTACGACTTCATGCCTATAGTATTTAAAAACATTTTCTTCCAAACACTGAAGCGCGAGACAGACCCCTTGAAAAGTAAACACTAACAAGTTAATTTCGTTATTACAATTTTTACTTAACTTCAATCTTCAAGAATATTTCATAAATGTTTTCTACACATCCATTTCATGTTCGAAACATCAACATATATGATTGCTAAACGTCAGTCAAGCCTTTAGGTTAAAAAAACTCAGATGTATATTTACACCTTTCATCAAAACCCATTATACCATATACTACTTCTATGCCTCGCCTAAAACAGGAAACGACTTATTCTCGGTCTAGTGTGCTGTTAACATTATTTATTTTTGTTGGCTCGTTTACAATATCATTAGATTAAAAATGTTGCTTAGGCAAAGACAAATCATTATCTGAGCCGCCTCTAACACAGTATTTACACTATAGATACTATTGTCTAAAGTCACCTCCTGAACTTTAAGTCCAGCCCCTTTCGGTTTCTGACTACCTGGACACATTTAGTAATGAAATAAAGGATCACAAGTCAATTATCTTCAGACTATAATAAACAAAAAACAACAATATATGTATATCTTGATGTACAATTATTAAGAATTCACTAATCAACATGGTTCCTTGATATATATATATATATATATATATATATATATATATATATATATATATATATATATATATATATATATATATATATATATATATATATATATATATATATATACATATATATATATATATATATATATATATATATATATATATATATATATATATATATATATATATATATATATATATATATATATATATATGTATGTATACATTCATAATTTATATATGTATATATTTATAATTGCCCACGGAAGAGATGGCATTAATCAAGTTGTGCTAATGATAAATGATTGTATTTCTAAAATAAGTATCTAAAATGCTACGACTTATAAAGATATTATAGACAATCATACGGGGATATGATTTTTGTAAACACAAAAACTTGAAAGCTTTGGAATTAGTCGGATTGTGCCTGAGGCCATACGCCTATTTCTGAATAAATATTTATATATATACACATATATATATATATATATATATATATATATATATATATATATATATATATAATTATTTAAATAAATATATATGTGAATATATATATATAATAAACTAAATAAATAATATATATATATATATATATATATATATATATATATATATATATATATATATATATATATATATATATATATATATATATATATATATATATATAAAGCAATGTATGTGTGTCTTTTATGCAAAAAATCTAATTATGTCTTTATTTAGTCCTATATCACTTACTTCCCTTTGATAAATTAGGAAAACACAATTACTTCCCTTTATAAAACCATTGCATTGGTGGAAAAGAATTTACTTTTTATTACTTTGTTTTGGTATTGGGAAAAAAAATAATTACATAATTAGCGGGGATTGATCAAGTGCAAATGTTGTAGGTATTTTACGGATAAGCTTGGAGTATTGTAATTGTTCATTAAATTGAAACAGGCGCGTTCGTTTAAGTGAGTGCAAAAGACTATGAATAAGTTTGGGTACTATAGTCATTTATTAAGCTAAAACAGGCGATTCCTCCCCGGGCTAGACTGTGGGCACTTTCCGTTTATGTTCGCGTTAGTGTTTTCTTTGTGTTTAGGTTTGGTTTGCGTTAGTGGTTGCGGTTTGATTTGGTTCGTTTTTGTTCTTTCTTTTTTCGTTTTCGTTTGTGTTTTTTTCTTTGGGTTAGTATTTGTGTTTTTGGTTGGTTTTGCGTTTGGATTTGGTTTGTTTTCGTTTGCTTTTTCGTTTTTTTTTTGTGTGTTGTTATTGGCTGGTATTGGTGTTTGTGGTTGTGGTTGGGTTTGTTGTTAGGTTTTTGTTTGCTTTTTGTTTGTTTTTTCTTTGTGTTTGTATTGGTGTTTGTGGTTGTGTTTGTTGTTGGGTTTTTGTTTCGTTTGTATTTGTAATTGTGTTAGCGTTATGTTTGCGTTTTGTTGTTTTGGTTTTGGTTGGTTGTCGTTTGGGTGGGCAATGCCGGGTTTATGATGATTACTAAACACACAGGTAATAGTCTTTAACAGAAAGGTTTTTCACAGAAGCTAGAGCAGGGCCTGGCTGGGACGGCTAGTTCATTATAAAACTCTAGGGAAGGGTTCTGTTAAAATTCATTTTTAATTTCGCAGGGTCGGCGCCACGGGCGGCTGCGATTTTTCTCTGTATACGGTTTATAAAATTTCGGTTTCACACCGTTCATCCGTATACCATGAAATTTTGGGGAGTAGATGAGAACACTCCCGAGAATATTTCAGCGAAAAAGAAAACTAAAGTTTCTTACGGGCGGCGCCATATAACTTTCGTCAGTACACGGTTTGCGCCCATATATATATATATATATATATATATATATATATATATATATATATATATATATATATATATATATATATATATATATATATATATATATATATATATATATACTAGCGTACCCGTCCCCCGCGCGTTGCCGAGGGATAGAAGAAAGTTTGACAAATGTTTTAGAAGGATTTTACCAACGCGTTACCAGTCATATGTTCTTAGACGCGTGACCGCATGAAAGCATTGAGTGTACATTAATCACTCACCGAAATAATATGGTAGGCTCCACACTTCAGTGACCCCCCGATTACACTACCTCATAGGCGCGGCGTACGACCCCTGGCTCACTAAAACTAACAGGCGCCATCGGCCAAATAGCATCCTGTTAATAATGATGCAGATTTCGTCATTCGCTAAAGTGACAAAAATGAACAGGATGTTTTTCTTTGACACGTAAAAAAATTATTTGACGTGTTTTAAATATCAGGGTGACTGATGCAATATGCTAGCGTTACTAATGGTCTATTATTAGATGCTCGATCTCAATTTCTGACTGGATTGTCTAAAAATAGATGCTTATTGCATCATTCGCAAAGTGACGAAACTCTACAGTAGGCTCCTCATATTCAAAAAGTTATTTTTTCATCTTTCGCAAGGTGACAAAACTGTACAGAACGATTTCCTCGCGTTACAAAGTTATTTTTAGAAGCCTGTTGTAGATTTACCGCTGAATATAGTAGTACCCCTTACTCGCTATGCAGGACGCTCGATTAACGGATGCCAAGTGCCCACATAGTCGCTCTAAAACTCTGGGCGCCAAACCGTGTATTGACGAAAGTTGTACCCTATATGGCGCCGCCAATAAGAAACTTTAGTTTTCTTTTTTGCAGAAATATTCTCGGGAGTATTCTCATCTACTCCCTAAAGTTTCATGGCACTCGATGAACCGCATCCGAGTTTTATTTTTTATACACCGTGTATAGAAGAAAAAAAATCGGGGGGGGGGGGGGGGCGCCGCACTTGCAATATTTAAAAATATTTTTTTTGCAGAACCCTATCATTGAGTGATCTAATCATCTCCCCAAAGTTTCATGGTACACGAATGAACGGTGTGAAACCGAAATAGACTTTTATTTTTATAAACCGTAAATAGAGAAAAATCGCATCCTCCCGTGGCGCCGCCCTTGAGAAATTAAAAAAGGAATTTTTTTTTACAGAACCCTTCCCTGGAGTGTCCCAATCAACTCCCCCAAAGTCTCATGGCTATCTGATAACGGTGTCACACCAAAAAATCTACTTTTATTTTAATATACCGTATATAGAGAAAAATCGCACCCTCCCGTAGCGCCGCCCGAGCGAAATTAAAAATATTTTTTTACAAAACCCTTCCCTAGAGTTTTATCATGAACTCCCAAAAGTGTCATGCCTATCGGATGAACGGTGTCACTGCAATTAACTTTTATTATTTTTATATACCATATATATTGAGGAAAATCGCACCCTCCCGTGGCGCCGCCCTAGCGAAATTAAAAATATTTTTTTTCAGAACTCTTCCCTAGAGTTTTATAATCAACTCCCAAAAGTTTCATGCCTATCGGATGAGCGGTGTCATTGCAATTAACTTTTATTATTTTTATATACCGTATATTGAGAAAAATCGGACCTCCCGTGGCGCCGCCCTTGCGAAATTAAAAATTAATTTTTATAGAACCCTTCCCTAGAGTGGTATAATGAACTCCCCAAAGTCTCATGGCTATCGGATGAACAAATGCCAAACCAAAATCGACTTTTATTTTAATATACGTTATATAGAGAAAAACAAATCGCGCCCTGTCTACTGCGAATTTGAAATATTTTTTTTCGCAGAAACCTCCCCAGGAATATTCTCAACAACTTCCCAAAGTTTCACGGCGATGTGATGAGAGGTGTAGTAATGCATAAAGGACAGACACACACACACACACACAAACATACATTGCTTATATATATATATATATATATATATATATATATATATATATATATATATATATATATATATATATATATATATATATATATAAACAAATTACTTCGTTTCTCTCATAACCAGGATGATGAGTCAAGAAACCGAAGTCGAGTAAGTAAAACATTTTTATATTTTTATATTTTAAAAAAAAAACACGCATACAAAAAAGTACTTTTTTAAGTACTCTTGTGTGTAACAAAAATGACAATCATATAGTAATACATAGACATGTCCATAAATACGCATGCGCATCCATATACATAACGAAAATGCATGCATATAGATCAGCCTTATAACTACGTTTACTAACTTAGAGTGTCGCTTACAATCACCCTGCTCATTTTTTTAAACAATTTTCGTTGAAACTTTAAAACTTATTATAAACTAGCAGACCCTCATCCTTAAGAATCCATAGCTTCCTCCAGAGAAGATGATATTTTTGAAATATTAAATATCGCTTTACTACATTCCAAATACTTGCATGTTGTATTCGCATTAAATCTATGAGTGATGTTTTCTGACAACTAAAAATGTGTATTAACTATAGGTTAATTAAACAACCGTATCTCAAATGTAGTCTAAGGACAGTTAAAACAAAGCGTAAACCTATTCTTTAATAAACCGGGAATGATCTCCCCTAAACTTTCTCGAATATTCTTATATGAAACAACAGGTGATGGCAAATCGTAATATAGACTTGATTTTAAATCCATTTTAAATACTTAAGCTTTTTAAAAATATAATAAAATCAAGTAGAAAAACAACTGCACACCAATTGAACGCTAAAAAATTAAATTTGCATAATAGTGCGAAAATAGAAATAGGAAATTACTCAAAATTTGAAAGAAGACAGAGCAGAGCATTAGATCTTTTACTTACATGTGAAATTTTATTTATCTATATGAAATAGTACTCAAGTTATAGGCTTTTGAAGAATTCAAAGTAGAAAAAGTTCCACTTCCGATTATCGGAAATCTACGATTTTGATATAATACCTATATATGAATTTTATTTCATCAACCTAGCTGTAAAGGTACTGAAGTTATCGTGTTTACACACACACACACACATACAGACAGACACACATACACACAAACAGACATACGGACAAAAGGGCAAAACTATGTTTTTCATACTCAGGGAGCTGTAAAACGTCGAGATTTGTAAAAAAAAATTTCTTCACAATTACAAGACTTTCTCTATAGGCTTACTTCGTATATACGCGAGAGAGTAAAAATTTACTTTGGAAGACATTGGATGACGTGGTTGACAGGTCGCGTAAACCTCAATAAAGTTATCCATCTGAAAAATTCCCGAAATATTTTTTGACGTAAGCTGTTTTGTCTATAACTTGCATGTTTCTTTTTTAAATATTTTATTGTATAAACTTTTTTCGAGGAAGGACGTATAAAATTAATATTAAATTACAATTACAATAATGCAGACAATGTCTATGTGGTCTTGTGGAAAAACACTATTTCGAAACGATAATAACTAAATAAAAACGTGTCTGCTAAATAATACTTCAAATCGAAAAGTTAAATTGTAAAGATAGTGAAATAAAAGTAACATGAATTATGAATAATTTAAGGTAATTTAAAACCGCATTACTCTTCTAACCCCCAAACTTCTCAATTGCAACGCAAAGTGCCTTCCTCAGAAAACAGCTTTACCAAAATGTGTCAGAAGCTGGCTTTAACACGACATCGGTGGGCGTAGGGCCTTCTAGTTTCAGGTAACCATCCAAGACTGAAGAGTTCGTAGATGAACTTCAACGGTTACGTGTTCGTGACCAAGATGAGTCATCTAAATCGAGGCATCCGGTTGTGGTCAGGCACAAATATGGATGGGAGTCGCTATGCGATACTTAGTCCTAGACACATCATATGAAATGTTCTCTTGGAACAACAATTAAACTTATGTGGGTATAAGTCATGTCTGTCTTAATTAATTATTAATCTTCGTAAACAGATCCTTGTACATAGGTCTCCTCTAGAGATGGAGTAAGACCTAAAATAAATATGTTTACGGAGACTCTTGCTTATCATAAAGCTAATGTAAAGTTCCCTGAAAGACTTAATATGCTGGTCTCTTTAATGGCCAGCTAAATATAGTCAAAACAAAGAAACTCTGATTATATGGACATCCCATTGTCTGTCAGAAATAAGCATGCATGCTACGGTGGCCGAGGAGCAAGTTCGTTGAAAGCAAACACGACATTGAATTGAGGACATTAAGCGCTCTACTGGGCTGCCGCTGCAGAATTACATAAAGTAGCTTAGACCGAGATTGATTGCAAAAAATAATATAAAAATCTACTGTGGTGCCCAAACGACACACCCACCCATCGAGGTCATGGAATGATTAATCAGTTAATGAAATATTTAAATTATTAATTTGCTTAAATATATATTGGATAAACTTACTTACTAAATATCGTTGCGGATATCAACAAGTTTCAATATATAACAATGATGTCTACTGTACTTAACGAAATATATAGAATATTATAAGTTATCTAACGTTATCTTTCTCTCTCTCTGTCTCTCTCTCTCTCTCTCTCTTTCTCTCTCTCTATATCTCTCTTGTTGGTCTATAGTATTAAAACTTTGAAGTCTCTAAATATCATAGCTTTCTAAGGTAGGCCTACATTTTTACTTCCTCGTATACGATGTATAAAAGAAAATATTGTAATCGTGAGAAAAAAGGGAGATTTTCACAAGTCTAGACGTTTTACACGTCCCTGAGTCGGAAAAACAGTTTTACAATTGTGTCCGTATGTCTGTGTGTGTATGTGTATGTCTGTGAACACGATAACTTAAGAACCGTTACAGCTAGGTTGATGACATTTCATACATAAGTATTATATTCCCAGCTATTGCCGGTATTCAGAAATGGAACTGCAAACAATATGTGTATAATAGTGCGGAATTTAAGCTATTCTCGACTTTTTTTCAGATATCTCTTTACCAATCTATAAATTTGTATGAGTTTTCGTCACCAACTATTTCTCAATGTATAGCCGCATCTATATATATATATATATATATATATATATATATATATATATATATATATATATATATATATATATATAATTCTCTTCTTGGAGACCATAGAAAACACCAAGTTGCAAGCGCGTTCCCTACTACCCCCATCCCTACTGTGGTTCAAGCTAAATGTTTACAATCGTAGATAATGTAGTTTGAAACTATTTATAACACGTTTTTATTAACTCAGCTTCGCGTTTGTTTGTTGTTAAAATTGACAACGAAAATTAGCCCACTTTTGATTGGTCTAGAGATCTGAAATTCGGCATGCAGGCTATTTTCGCCTAACAATTTCAGATGCAATCATAAAAACTAGCAATTAGAGACCTAAATTAGCTTAATTAAATTACGCCCCTAGGACGCTAAAATTGTGGACATGATTTCTCAAAAACGTACTAGTAATAATAATATCTCGCACTTTTATACACATTTTATTAGGCGTTCACTTGGTGTGGGACGAAGTGGTCTAGCAGTAGAGAGCTGGACTGCTAACCCGTTAGTCTCGAGTTCGAATCCGAGTTCAAGTCAGTAGACCGTCCCTGAGTCCACCCAACTCTGGGTCGGGCAGATTTATGATTAAAGCGAAAAGCACACAACTCACGAATTTTGGAAATTTGACGGTGAACGTACCCACGTTTTTTGTCATCAAATGTATGAACAGTCATCACAAGAACCTGCACAGCTCGAGGAAGCACAAAATCTACGAGCAGTCATTGGTAGATCCTCTAGGATCGGAAGAAAAATTTATTTTCTAGTTTTTAGTCCACAAGAAAAACGTGTTTTTTTTAAAAGTTTTTTTTAAGTATTTTATTTTAACTTAGGGGAGGTAACTAAGAGGAGTTTTCTTTCACTGGAGGGAGGGGGAGGGGTTGGGGGAAATGAAGGGGTGGGGGTTAATATCCTTAACGAGCTACTGATAGTGTTTGAAAGCAAATATTTTCAGTGGAAGCATTGGTACTGTCGAATTCACAAATAGGGTGTTGCAGTTGAGTCCAAATTGAGCCCTGCCGGTTGGCGTTTTTTTAAACCAAATCTGAATATTTTTATTAAATCTTTTTTTTTTCAACTTAGGAAAGCTACTTTCGCTTTTGGCTTCAAAACAAACTCAAGTTTTAGAATCAGAATTTCATGAATTTAGAACTAGAAATCGAGATAGCATCTAGATTTTTAAAACTAGATCTAGAAAAATAATTGACTTTGCAGCTTTTAATATAGAATCTAGATTCTAGATCTATTCTAGAATTTTATTTAGAAAACAACCTACTCGTTAGTTTTAGTTAAGTTTTAGTTTGAGAGGTAGGGACCGTAGTCTAAAGAAAACTGAAGAGTAAAGATAAAGAAGACGTCGTAAAGTGAAATGACCAATTCTAAAAAATTAAAGATTGAAGAACTTAAATAATTAGATTCTACTTTAGTGTACTAACTTAGTACTAAGTACTTATTAATATTAATGATGATACGTCTTACGCTAAGATATAAACAGTAGGAGTAGATTTAACAAACTCAAATAGTATTATTTACTAAATCCTAAGTATTTTATTTAGATCTAGATCTCTGATCTATGCCTTATTGTTGTTATATAGTATACATATATATATATATATATATATATATATATATATATATATATATATATATATATATATTTATATATATATAGTATTATACTAGACTACCCGTTATCTAGTTAGATAACTGTGGGTTTCGGGGGTCATCCATAAATGACATCACGTCTGTCAGCACTTATCATCCCAAAATAACCAGACCACACATTCAAAAAGACGTTTTTTTATATTTTAAAAACTCTACTAAACCCTACTTCACCTGCCCAGTGTCCCGCCAAGTCTCAGACATGTTTGAATTAAAAAATAAAGAACGATTCCGGCCGAGCATGGCTCTGACCACACTATCCCTTCATATGCTGATAACATAGAAACAGGTAAACTCTACTTCACCTGCTTTGTGCCCCGCGACGTCCTGATAGTCAACCTTATCATTTTTTTTTTTTTTTTTTTTTTTTTTTTTTTTTTACGTCTCAGTGTTGTAGATTTGAGTTTCAGC